ACAGTGATTAACGCACCCTTTGCTGAATCATCACTTCTTCGATCGTCATCACCTTTTGTTGAATCATCGCTTCTTCGAGCATCATGGGGGGGCTGCCTCCCCCCACACCCCCCAACAGAGCTTAAAACACCCTTTGCTGCATCATCACTTCTTCGATCACCATGGGGGGCCCCCTGGCTGATTTTCAGCACCCTTTGCTGAATCATCATCATCACCCTTTGTTGAATCATCACTTCTTCGAACATCATGGGGGGGCTGCCGCCCCACCCAACCCCCTAACGCACCCTTTGCTGAATCATCACTTCTTCGATCATCACTATCCTTCTTTCTATCTTTCTTTCTTTCTTTCTTTCTTGTTCTTCCTTCTTCTTCCTTCTTCTTCCTTCTTCTTCCTTCTTCTTCCTTCTTCTTCCTTCTCCTTCCTTCTTCTTCCTTCCTTTCTTCCTTCCTTCCCTCCTTCCTTCCTTCCTTTCTTCCTTTCTTCCTTTCTTCCTTTCTTCCTTTCTTCCTTTCTTCCTTTCTTCCTTTCTTCCTTTTTTCTTTTCTTCCTTCTTCTTCCTTCTTCTTCCTTCTTCTTCCTTCTTCCTTCTTCTTCCTTCTTCTTCCTTCTTCTTCCTTCTTCTTCCTTCTCCTTTCTCCTTCCTTCTCCTTCCTTCTCCTTCCTTCTTCTTCCTTCTTCTTCCTTCTCCTTCTCCTTCTCCTTCTTCCTTCTTCTTCCTTCTTCTTCCTTCGCCGTCCTTGTCCTTCCTTCGCCGTCCTTCTCCTTCCTTCGCCGTCCTTCTCCTTCCTTCTTCTTCCTTCTCCTTCTCCTCTCTCCTTCTCTTTCTCTTTCTCTTTCTCTTTCTCTTTCTCTTTCTCTTTCTCTTTCTCTTTCTCTTTCTCTTTCTCTTTCTCTTTCTCTTTCTCTTTCTCTTTCTCTTTCTCTTTCTCTTTCTCTTTCTCTTTCTCTTTCTCTTTCTCTTTCTCTTTCTCTTTCTCTTTCTCTTTCTCTTTCTCTTTCTCTTTCTCTTTCTCTTTTTTCTTTCTCTTTCTCTTTCTCTTTCTCTTTCTCTTTCTCTTTCTCTTTCTCTTTCTCTTTCTCTTTCTCTTTCTCTTTCTCTTTCTCTTTCTCTCTCTCTCTCTCTCGCCTCCCTTTTTCTGCATGTTTATTTCTCTGTATCTTTTTCCTCACTGCTTGCAAAAGTGCTGCGCCTGCTGCGCACCTGACCTTGCGAAAGTACTGCGCCTGCCGCGAATCTGCACCGGACCTTGCGAAAATACGGTGCCTGCCGCGAATCTGTACCGCACGTTGCGAAAGTGCTGCGCCTGTCGCGATGCGAAAGTACTGCACCTGCCACGAAATCTGCACCGTACCTTGCGAAAGTTCTTCGCCTGCCACGAAATCTGTTGCCTGCGCCTGGCGCGAAATCTGTATCTTGCGAAAGTGCTGCATTGCCGCGAATCTGTACTGACCTTGCGAAGGTGCTGCGCCTGCTGCGGAATCTGTACCTGACCTTGCGAAAGTGCTGCGCCTGCCACTAAATTTGTACCTGACCTTGCCAAAGTCCTGCGCCTGCCGCGAATCTGCGCCGCACCTGGCGAAAGTGCTACAGCTGCCACGAAATCTTGCCACGAAATCTGTACCGTAACTTGCGAAAGTGCCGCGCCTGGCGCGAAATCTGTACCGTGCCTTGCGAAAGTGCTGCGCCTGCCGCGAATCTGTACCTGACTTTGCGAAAGTCCTGCGCCTGCCGCGAAATCTGTACCGCACCTTGCGAAAGTGTTGGCTTGCTCTAGTGGTGGGGCTCCCTGCTCGCCGACCTGAAGCCACTTCACCGACAAGATGCTGGGGTCGGAGCGCGCTGTGCCCGAGGTTTTTAACCATCTAGCGGGGCGCTGATGGGTTGCCCTCACCATGAAGTCAGGAACTTCACGTCGGGATTCAGCCCCACACAGGCCAGGTGACGTGCACCGCACGCTACACTGCAGCCGTGGAGCACAACCTGCGCGCGCCCTTCTACCAAATCACGAGCCACAAGGGGAAGGACAAGGCCCTGCAATGGCTGCGCACCATCAGGGCGCCTGCCGCGATGCGACTTGCCATGACTTTTGCAAAAGTGCTGCGCCTGCCGCGAAATCTGTACCTGACCTGGCGAAAGTATTGTGCCTGCCACGACGTCTGCGCAGTACCTTGCGAAAGTGCTGCGCAGCAGCGAGAATGACATCCGTGTGCCGTTGGGATTTGGCTTGGCCGAGGCGGCAAGGATGGAGGTGACGGCGGCGTGTGCCGGTGGGATTTGGTTCTGCGGATGCAGCCAGAGACGAGGCCGCGTGCCGGTCGGAGTTGGTCGGTGGGATTTGGGTTTGGCGGAGGCGGCAAGGATGGAGGTGACGGCGGCGTGTGCCGGTGGGATTTGCTTCTGCGGATGCAACCAGCGCCGAGGACGGGAGGTGCTGGAGGCCGTCGAGGCGGTCGTTCGTGTGCCGGTGGGATTTGGCTCCAGGAAAGCAGCGAGAAATAGCTGGGGTCATCCGTGCGCCGGTGGGATTTGGCTTGGGGCCGCAAGGATGGAGGTGACGTGTGCGGTGGGATTTGCTTCTGCGGAGCTGAGGTGACGGGAGGTGCTAGGTGCTGGAGGATTTGGTCCACAGAGGCGCAGCGATAACGAGGCGCGGTCGTCCGTGCGCCGGTGGGTCATCTGTGTGCCGGTGGGATTTGGCTTGGCGGAGGCGGCAAGGCCCGCTGCCCCCTGCGCTCTACGCCTTGGCGCAGCACGACGGCCTGTTCGCTGCTTCGCAGGCGCTGCGATTAGGCGATCGCCTGGCGGCCTTCCTGGACGATCTGTTCGTGTTTGCTTCGGCCAGTCGTGCTCGCGATGGCGACAATGTTGCACACGCGCGGTTGAAAAGCACGCTGGAGTCGTCGAAGCTCGGCAAGACCCGGGTGTATTTCCGTGCGGGCGGCCCCCCTCCCCAGGCATTGCTGAGTTAGGACCTGAGGTGTGGCGTGGGGGCAAACCATCGCCCCAGCGTGGCTTTGTCGCTCTGGGCGTTGCCCATCGGCAGCCCGGAGTTTGTCGCTGGCGAGCGGCTTGCTGACCTGCTCGCCGAGCTCCTGCAGCTGCCTGGCCTCCAGTCCGCATGGCTGTTGCTACTGTTCTGCGCCGCGCCGCGTGCTCAGCATCTCCTCCGCACAGTGCCGCCTTCCCAGTCGGCGGCCTATGCTGCGGCCCACGACCAAGCCACGTGGGACTTCTGGGCGAGCCTATGATGCCAAGAGGGGCAATCGTCCCAGCCGTGGCGGAGCAAATGCGGCCGCTTCGCGGAGGCAAGGCGCGCGCGCGCAGCGCTCAGCAGCCTCAGGCCGGCGTGGCGCCATGACAGGCAGTCCGCCCGCGTGGCCCCAGCGGGGCCGCGCGCTCCGCGCACAGCAAGCCCCCCACGAAAGCGACCCTGGTGACTGGCCACATGGTTGGCAACTTCGCGCGTCTCGTGTTCTTCACACTTACTTTCGCGAGCGCAAGTTGCTGCCCACCCTGTCGCCGGCACCACCCTTCCACCCGCCCACATGCATGTTGCCTTGCGGCGCCTTCGCCTGTTGCTGCCGTTGGCATATGGGTTGTGTGGTGGTGCCGGGGTGCCTGGCTGTGGGGCTCGATGTTCTCGGTGACCATCATCAAGCAGGCCCGGAGGCTCGTGTGGTGCAGCAGCAGTGGCTGGCGCGCACAACCGCCGGAGATGATCGCCGGCGCCTGGGGTTCGTCTTGTATGGCGCCGCTCGCCGCTCGAGGTAGCGCGCCGGCGCAAGCCGCCCTTCAGCGCACTGTGGCGTCCACCTTGTTGGGCGGCGCCTGGCTCTCGCCTGCGGCCGGCTGCGGATGTAGGGCCGGACCTTGGACGTCCTCGGCGCCGGGGACGTGCCTCTTCCCAGCCACCTCCCCTTGCGGGGGTAGTCGTGGCATGCTTCCCGCCTGCCGTCTTCGCGTTGGGGGGGAAAAAAGGTGCTGGCCCCTGGTTCTTGCGCACCCAGGTACCTCAATATAGATTTGGCCCGGCCCTCAGCGCTGGTGGGTTTGGTTTTGCTTTGAATCCTGAGCCCGCCCCTGAGGCTGCAAACGCGTGGCGAAGGGTTTTGCCTGCTGGCTCGCTGAGCTGCCGCGTTGGCTGCGCTTGAAGGAAAAGAGCCCGCCTGCAACACACCATGTCTCCGCGCGGACGTCGCAGCACATACCCGCAACGCCGCAACGACCACTTGCTGCCACGCCCCCGGCCCCCACCTGAGTGCACCGTGCGCACCCACCTCCGTCTTGTTTGGAGATGAAGACCTGGCGCCGGCCCGGTCCAGGGCCGAGGTTCTGTGGCTGAGGCCCCGTTGCCTGCTGGCGCTGTGACCCCGCTGTCGGGCGGCGCGGAACAGGTGTGCACCCCTGCTTCGGTCTCAGCACGCGCTTGCCCACAGCCGGGGCCTCTGAAAGGGCCAGTCCGCAAGAACAGAAAAGCCTGGAGGCTGGGCGCAGGCAAATGATCCTTCGGCTTCGCGCGCACTGCCCCTGGGCGCCTCTTTGCCCATGTGCGCCCGCATGCAGCGCGCGCTGCGCTCCGGAGTCGCCGTGCGGTGGGGGCTTGGGTGACCACGAACACCTCCTCACTGTGTGCCCCTCTTCGGGAGGCCGAGGCCTATGAGACCGCGTTGGTCGCTGAGGCGCCGGTAAACACTCTCTTGGCGTCAGAGGGTTGTGGGTGAGGCGTTTTTGAGGCAGCACGGAAGGAGTGATGAGTTTTGAAGGCGAGGGCGGTGGGGCCGGATCGAGCTGCGGAAAAAGGCACGAGGAATCAAATGAAAATTGTCTGGACATCGTCACTTATGACTGCCAGCGCCTGGCCCCAGAGACGACGAAGTCGGGCCAGCAGCGGCAGCAGCGGCGCGGCATGGTGAAGTTGCCGTTGAAACGGGTTCCTTCAAAGAAGCTACAGGACCAACAAGTCAGGTGCAAACAATTGCATGATGCTTGGCTGTTTGCAGTGACGTCGTAGACCGCCACTCGGAAGTGCGACGTCAGCTTGGTCAATTTGAGGCAAGTGCGCCCTTGCAATTTGGCGCAATGGATGTCAATGTCGTGCTTGGCGCTGCTGCCTCTTGGTGGCACATCACAGATGCAATGGCACATCCCAAATTGTCAAAGCACATGGCTATTTGGTTGGCAGTGCTGCCAGGTGGCGGCTGGTGGCATTGCAGGGTTTGCTACCAAAGGCAGTGTGCCTTCCTTGCTGGCCGGCAGTGTCGGCGGCTTGTCATTGGTCGCTTGTGGGCGAACCGCTAGCTACAGAAGCGCAGCAGCTATCACTGACTCTCGGCGGCGTTTAGAGGCTGATGGCGGGAAAATGTCTGCACAATGCTCGCTCACAAACAATTTTCAGGCCAATGAACATCGACACGTGCCTGGACGCAGGCCAGAGCTTTTCCCGAGGCCTTCTTGGTCATGATGATGGGCGTGAGGTACGCCAAGACCAAGAAGGTCATGCCTGCAGGGCTGGTGGCTTTGCTTAGCGCCGGAGGTTTGGTGTTCAACTTTGTGAAAATTCAGAAGTGAGGTGCGGAATTTGGAGCATGGTTAGAGCACTGGTTGTAGCTCGTAGCTGTAGGTCTTTCAGACTGCATTGCTCAAGTGTGTATGGCAAAAAGGGGCTGCCGCTGTGCTACACTGCTGCTGCGAGAACATTTTGCTTCAGAACCTTCTGCGTGTTCAGAAATTTGGGTGGAGGAGTCTTGGCACAACGTGGTTTGGTCGCGTACCCGGCTTTGCTTACAGCAGGCAACGAACCAACGCAATTCCACAGCCCGATCGCGCACACAAAAATACTGATGATGTGCGATGGTATGGCGGTTTGAAGGCTTGATTAATAAACACGCATGGTTTGCTCATTCTCTTCCGTGGCCATGCCATGGCGAGGATGCAGGAAGGCAAGTCAGCCTCTCTCTAGCCTTGCTGCGCTCAAATTCTCACTTGTTGCAGGTTCGGCGATGCACTTGCCAGCTTCGACCTTACAGGCTGTGGAAGGAAGCGTCAAAAAAGACGCGGCAGGCTGCAGAATGAAGCTGCGCTTGAGATGCTTGGCTGCGCCGGCGGCCCGCCGCCGCTGCCAGAGGTGGCTAGTCCAGTTTCCCCAAGCGTTGGACTTGCTTATTGGCGGTGGGGGAAATGGGGTGGTGGTACTCATACGTCCATTTCAGCAATCCAGCAGGCTGGATGTCGCAACAGCATTTTCAGACTTAAGACTCTGGCAGAAAGTTTGGCGCATTACATGTGCAGCCTACCGTGCGATTATACCGAGACATGCCTGCAACCGGCTCGAGGCAGCTGATCACACTCACGTAGCGCTCCGTTGATCTGCTACACGGGGACAGTAACATCAGGCTTCCACAGCAGAAAGCGAGAGAGCGAGAGAGAAGAAAGCAACAAACGCACACACGCACACACACACACACACACACACACACACACACACACACGCACGCACGCACGCACGCACGCACGCACGCACGCACGCAAGCACGCACGCACGCCCGCACGCCCGCACGCCCGCACGCCCGCACGCCCGCACGCACGCACGCACGCCCGCACGCCCGCACGCACGCACGCACGCGCCGCACGCACGCACGCACCACCGCACGCCCGCCACCGCACCCACCCACGCACGCACGCACGCACGCACGCACGCACGCACGCCACCGCACGACGCACGCACGCACGCACGCACACACACGCCCGCGCACGAACGCCCGCGCACGCACGCCCACGCACGCACGCCCGCGCACGCACGCCCACGCACCCACGCCCACGCACGCACGCACGCACGCCCACGCACGCACGCCCACACGCACGCGCCCGCACACACGCACGCACACGCACACCCGCACGCACCCGCACACGAGCACGCCCACACACACACACACACA